GACATCAGGAGCCGTATTATGTCACCAAGTGCAATGTTTCGTCGTGAAAACTGGGTCTATGAAGCAATTTCGAATGTGAAATAGCATTTAATCTTGTCTTCTAATATTTTACCTTTCACAGTAATTGCTTGATGGCACAACTTTGCTGTTTTGATTATTGCTAAGGCAAATTACTTGATAAAAAAGAAAACAATATGCTTTTTCTTTCCTTATATTATTGACATCACTGAGCAGGTTCTTGCATCTATTTAGAGCGAAGAAACCTAGAACTAGAAACACGCTTAACATGTCCCTGAAGGGACAGAAATGTCCACACCCGGCTATCAGATGATAAGGACAACCGATAATACATATTGTGCCTCATACCTGACACGTGATTTTGTATTTTTATGCCACTTTTTGATGACTACCAATGATAAATAGTTTATAAGTATACATGTATAGACAACGGAGCAAAAATGTAAAATTCATAAACGTTTGGTAATCGTTCACACGCAGACTTTTATATCGACCAACTGCTGTAATTATAATCGCCAGGCGGAATAGCTGAGTGCCACACAGTTATATTCTCTGGTGGTGGTGGTGGTGGGGGGGGAGGGGGGGGGGAGGTCAAATTTATCTATTTCTTTATTTGTAAATGTTGAAGAAATGTTGGACCCACTGCCATGTGCATCTTACAAAGACAACGAGACAAGTATTTTTCCTTTTTATTGTTTTAGATCCTGAATTAGCGGAACCAAATAGAAGGACCACGTTGGACAATTTAATTGTGATAATTAATCGATTTTTCCATGGCAATCAAAGGCATCCCTCCGAAAGCGAAAGGGAAAGTATTGCTGATAGCATGTTCGACTTTTTCGACTTAGATAGTAGGCATATTTTATTTTCTTTGGTAATTTGTATTCGTAAAACCTCGTAAAATGTAATGGTATTTGATTAAATAAGAAAATAGACAGTATGGTTAATTTTTCAAAAGTCTTTACAAGTATATACAAGTTGTTCACGATGTATCGAGGTTTTCTTATCACTTTAGAGTATCAATCATTAAAGCGTGTATTATGTTCCCAAATTATAAAAATAGAGCCCTGGGCGAATTTTGATATTATGGAATTGAATTTTTACATCTAAAGAATAAAGTGTTTGAAGGGAAATTTGGCTACTGATAAATTCAAATTTTGAATTTGTTTTATATGCGTCATATGTTTTTGGATGTCTTAGTTGCTTAAATTGTATGCTGTATCTTATTTTAATGTGAAATGCTATGCTATGTGCACTGTTTCGATGAGTCTAGTCCGTTGCTTCTGCATACTTAGTGAAACTTTATTTTCCTTTGTTTGTTTGTCTTAAAGTGTAAAAATTTATTGATTTGTAATGTACTGCATGTAGTCGCTGTGTACTAATAGTTGTATTGATGTTTGTAAATGTCCGTTATGTAAACTGTACTGTAATTTTGTGTGCTTGTATGTATTGGGATGTCGATAAAAAGTGTATTTCTTGATTTTTTTTCAGACAATAATATAATAGACAGGAGCGAATTCCGTGCAACCATATGGTTTATTAACAATGATCGCAAGCGAAGGAATGGACGTCCATTTCCCGAGGTAGAAAGTCTTTCGAAATAGCACTTTCAACATGAAAGACATGCCATGAAAATTTCTGCTGCGGGCGACTAGGTGCTGACATCAAGTGGAAATCAAGAGGATTTTCCGTTATTATGGTGATATTTACAAGAACATTACTGGTACATGAATTATTCAACTAAACCATGAACTCCGAACTCTTAAAACTCTTTCTACTGGCCCATTTACAACGTCTAACCTTATATTGACGGGCCGGCCATCAGATAAACTTGCTTGGCCATGTTAATCGAGACAAGCATGAATGAATGAATGAATGGAGTGTGAATGTCAGTGTGCTGATGAGCGTGTAATATGCATCTTAATATGAAATGATGTCGAACAAAGATTCTGATGATGTTTTGGATACTTAACTGGAGTATGGCCTGAAAATCCAACAACGTCCTCCTTGGCTTGTGTCCATGAACTTGAAACCCTTTTTATAAGAGAAGGTACTATAATAATATATAGCTTTGGGGTTATATGATCACTATTTTTCTAGTCTCGAAGCGAACAGAGCTCACATGCCACGAGTGAGCAGTCAAGCAAGCATGTTTGGCACATACACATACTCACATGCTCACTATACACTCTCTCTCTGTCACACACACCCGGGAGACGTACATACATGTACAAATCCACACACGAACACATTCCTTACAACTTCAGTGTAGTGAACGGTCTGGTTTATATACAGTGCAGTGACAGATTTAGCAGCGAAGGTGCCAGTATTTCATAACCTTTGCTTATTCATAATATCTTGCAGTAATCACTGCTGGTATTTGCCATTAACGAAAAACAAACAAACAAAAAATAATAGAGAGCGAACAAGATGTTAATTAATAAATGATTGTATGATTCTTTTCGGAACAAAAAAGTCATACCAGTGAGGTGTTTTCAGTTTCGTCAGCGTCACAAAGCTGTGGGTCACCTTTTTTTTTTTTTTTTTTTTTTTTGCTTTAAGAGGGATAATATGACCATTTTATCAACTTACAACAGAGCACAGACACGTTTATATTTTAAGACGGCTATCTTTTTACTTATCCACCACTAACTGCACATCAGTTCTTTGTCTATTAGGATATTGCATTACATAATAGTTCTCTCACTTCGGTTAGCGGTTTTCAAATGTACATCGATTTGAATTATTGGTTCGTAGAAAAACACATTACATAAAAATGATAAGACTACCAGAGTCGATAAAGTAATCATCATTAGGGCTGCCTACCGGTAGTTATGCATTTTATACATCATTTTAGAATAAATAAAAATGCTACTAATTTGTCACAATTGTTCTGTTACACTCTAAATGGATGGTTTGGAAGTTTATGGACACCTACAAAGGTTCATTTAGAAATTACATCCGAAATACTCAATAACCAATTATCGGTCAAATGGTGCCAACACATTTGTCTTGATTGTTAGAGGCACAATGCCTATTGCCCTAAGATACATGTCTAGCAATGAAACCAATGCCTCGTAAAAACACGGCAAACATTAACGCAAATTCATCAGGTCGCACACATTAGAGTCCTTACCTCACTGTGTAAAAAACTGAATGAGTAATGAATGGTCGTGGAAAGGCAGCCGTATTGGCGCGACCTTCCGCTAAGCATGTAGCATAGTAATTACATATTAATTAATGAAAGAGGTGCAGACAAAATATTGCCAATTTGCCAAAATTAGACTACATTTTCACCAACGATGCATTCCATATCCGATAATGTTCCACAGGGAACCCTTAAGCCGCCTTAGTACTTACTCTAATACATTATATTCAGTGCGTGTCGAGAATTTATCGAGACGGTTTTTCTTATTTTACGCCTCCAAATGTTACCGTACCAGACGAATTAATGTATTTCTTCTCCCGGGGGAGGAGCGTGTAAATTTGCTTCCTTCCAATTCCATTGGGCTGGTATATATCATTATTGGAACACTTTTATCCATTTAACGCACTCTGTAATGTCCATTCTAGTTTATTATGCCATGAACACTTCCTGTTTGGGCGCTCAGGAGTCTTTAAAAAGCAGTCTTGAGCGTTACCCTGACACCATAATTGAGGTAATAGTCGATGGCCACCTTGGGATGAAGGATGTATCATATATCACTAACAATAACTGCCCGTTATTCTGTTCTTTTAAATGATATACGGGTAGAAAAAAACTGTATTGAATCTATTAGGTTTCTTATCTGCAATGAAAAAGCCTAAGGCTAACACTCGAGTAATACATAGACGTTGGACATGAGTTTAACCGTAACAATATTGCCTTTTTGTTTTCCACTTATCATTTCTTTTCTTATTGATTGATTAATATGCCTGACCCTTACTGTACCAAGACCTGTTAACGTTTTGAGAGTTCGTAATTTCACTTCAAGAGGGCACGTACTTACAATTTTATTTAATATGTGAAGCTTTAGCGGTTGGCTTATACATACATGTAAGACCTCTCTCTAGTTTTATTTTAAATTTTTTGGCATTAAATTCAACATTTAGTTGTACGAAGGCAACTTTATAATAATTTCTTGGAGCCGAGAAAAGGCGTAGATTCACCTTTTACACGTTTGTTTCGTGGTGTCAACTAACAAATAGATCTCTTTTCAACGTAGAATATCGCCATCTCTAAATTGATAAAGATAAAGAGCTTCCTCGGATAAACGTTAATTCTCTGTAACCACATGCATTTTTCTCAATTAAAACGACACGTTTCATTTTGCTTTGTTGTATTTCTCAAGATGCAAAATCAATAAATATAGCATGATGCCGCCCAATGGAAATCGTTGGACATCATCTAATATCGGAACAGGTAACCATTTGCGTTTCGTGGTTTTTAAATTCTATATTTGAAGGTTACAATAGGACGGGCCATTGTTAAGTAATTTTGTGGTTCTTTCTAAAGTTTAAATTTTAAAGTGAATGCTGAGATAATAACCGTCATAACTTTAATTAAAGTTGTACATGTACATGTACCTCGCTTTTCAGGGACCTTTAAAATATGACAGTAAAACACTACGAACCACTGGCGGTTGAACGTGTCTAGGTAAAAAACATAAATATAGTCATCTCTCAGTCTCGTTTAGCAACGATTATATATATATATATATAATATCAGAAAGCATGATGTGTTTACTATCGGGTCTGGCCTATGTAACACAAATAGCATTCACACGCTGCCAATAAATGCTGCGTACAGAGGATTCTCAAGGTATCAAAACCACCAAAAAACTTTACATTATTTACAATAAATATACAATTCAAATAAGAGTTAAATTATACGTATATCTCCAGAGCAGTACACAAAAATCGCACAAGATTTTTTGTTAATCTGACTGTTTGACAAGTCATTAAAGATATCCTGCATAAGTTATTTAATGGCACTCTTGCAGTCACATTACGGAACACGTCTTCGACCTCGCATTGAGGTAAATCAAAGTGTCAGACTGGGGTCGTATTCTGTCGACAGGTTTGATCTTTCTGAGCATCTCTTTCTCGCTTTGGCCAAGACTAAGAGCTGAGGGAAGCCGTATGGGTGTTTGGGGCGCCGAACTTTCGACCTTGTCCCATGATCTAGAAGTTCGTCCGTCAATGTCCGTGCTAAGTGGCAACTGGCGACTGGGGATGGTCTTAACGATCTCCTTGGCATTGTCGTACCGCTCGTCAATGAGGACGTATGCCGAGACCGCACCGTCGCTGCAGCCTATGACAATCGTTCTCTGGTCATGGCAGACTTCAACACACGTGATCGGCATGTGGACGTCACACCGAGCGATTTCCTTGCCGTCTTCAACTCTGATCACGTAGACCTCTTGATCTTCGTAGTAAATCACAGCTTTTCCATTGAGCGCAAACCTCTGTGGACAAGTCCCTGTGGGCACCAGCTGACATTTCCAAAACCCTGTGGTAATATCGTAGATGTGGGACTGGGCATCCATGCAGAGGGTCACGTCTTGGTTGATTAAGATTCTGCTCAAGTCCACATCTGGTGGGAAGAATGTGTCACAGACGTGGATGACGGCTCCGCTGCATACGTCTAATATCAGGAACCCGATTCCAGACGTGTAGCCACTGGATACTCCGTTGTATTCATCCTCCTCTGCTGCGCACGAGTACAGCACAATGACGGCATAAGGGTTACTTTCGTGAGGACGAACATCCAGCATGCGCTTAACATTAACGCATGAGCGAAGGTCAGCAGGGCTGTAAGACGCCACGGCGAAATCGTTCTCAAGAGAAAAGGCACAGATAGCGGGACTGTTGTATTCTGCTTTATACTCGTTGTACTCATCCGCCGTGAGAACAATCAGGTACCTGTCCTCTTTGGTGACGAATGGTTTGCTGAGGACAAAGTTCAGTGTTAAATCACACTGCACTTCCACAACTCTGTCTTCTTCAAACTTGAACAAGCTGATGTAGTACGGAGCCTTGAAGTTAATTTCTTTCTGGCACACACTGATGATGGTGCTCACATTGTGCAGCGGTACGCTGTAACCCCCGACCTCACCAAATTCGTGGATGATCTTCCGCTCTTCCATGTGCCATATTTTATTAGTGATCCCTGGTCGTTTTGGCTGCACCGACACAAACGCGTATCTCCCGTCCGTGGTGATGCTTAAGCCAGTCAAGGGACTCTCGTGGGTCAAGAGGTCACAAAGTTGACCCGTGCTCATGTCGATGACCCCGACCTCATCGCTGTTATGGCAACGGACAAAGGACACTGTGTTGTCCTTGGTGACCAAAACTTCCTGGATGCGTCCGGTGAGGCGATCCAGGGTATCCACGTGTTTGATTGCGTCGTCAAGGTTCCACACGTGGATGACGTCCGAGTTCTCAATGTGTGTCACTATCTGCTTGCGTTTGTCTGGCAAAAGCAGGCTCGTGATAATTCCCATGGGAGACTGCAGTTTTGTGACCAAGTTTCCCGACAATACATCGATGATGTAGATATTTCTAAAGATGGTCGCTAGAACGTACTGATCGTCTTGGGAGAACTTGGCTTGGGTGAAGTTCAGGTCGGTCAGGCTTCTCTGTGGTAGTTTGAACTGCACTGGTGTGTCGGAGGGTCTACCAAAGCAGGAAAGAACCTTCTCATTCTTCACGCCGTATATGACCAAATTGCTGTTTCCTCTCACAAGAAGATATTTCTCATTATGGGAAACAACGAGGTCGGATATTTGATCTCCCTTCAGAAGCTCCGTTAGGGATATCTTGTACGTGAGATCGACGTATCCCTCTTTGGCATGTAGCACAGTTATAACATTCTCCTCCAGGTTACTCACAAACCCTCTGTGGCCCTCTCTGGTAAAAACAACGTGGTTCGGTCGGTGCTCAAGTGGAAGGCTGCACACGTGTTCTAGTGTGAACAAGTCATATGACATCAGAGTCTCAGCAGAGTTGGTAAAGACGAATCTAGAATCGGGCGTGATTGTACAAACGCTAGCTTTACCATTCAAATTGACCACTTCGATGAATTTGCATTCATTGACGCTGGCGATACAAAGGTAGCTTTTTTCAAACGTGGCAATAATGCATAGGAATTCATTAGACAGAGACATCCTGCCTAATTTGTACTTCTCACTCGTCTCCCCCGTTGTGTGATTCAAGGGGATGAGTTGTCCTACGTATTTTCCTGTATCGCTTCTGTGAATCTTCACTGACATCTCGGTCACGTGGTCCAGCAAGACGATCATGGAGCCATCTGGTGTCAAATGCATGTCTCCAGCTGACGCTTGAATATCGTACTTCCACTCCCCTGTGGCAAGATCAAACACAAGGATATTCTGACTGGATCTCTCCTTGGCTAAAAGGTATCTTGAGTCGCTACCCAGAAGCTGGAAAAACTGGAGTGGAGTTGGGGATTCGAGAGTGTGCTGCAGAGGACCCCCGGGTACTTGATGATAAGGGAAAGCTGGCACGAGAGCTGAATGCTGCAAACCTTCTACATCACACTGCTGTATGAGGTGGCGAATGTTTGGGTGGGATGCGTAGTACGTCAAAAGTCGACCCGTAAGTTCGGCGGCCATGTTGTTCATGTTCTTGAGTATCACTGGTTGGCATGCTTGCAGAGCGCCTTTCACCAGGTTTGATTCGGTCCCGGGATTCAAGGCAAAAGTGGCGATAATGTGTTGTATGGATAACGCCTTGGATTTGTTATACAGCCACAGATAGTTGAAGAAGGCCATCTTGTTCAACTCGTTCAGACGCCCAGAGAGGTAAAGGGTACGTGGCATTTGGTCGTACTTGCGCTTATTATAGCGAGTTGTACCATCACTTCCGACAAAAGTGAGAGGCTGGGATAACACTAACCTGTCAGCTGAACTGGCCGTAGACGAGAGTCCCATACTTTTGGCGACGGCTGGAG